AGGAAAACCGATTTCAAAATCACTCTCTTTGCACCGCGTAAATTATTTTAATTCTTTGCGAAGGATTGCACTGCCCCGTTGAAATTGGTTTTGTTGAAATGCACTTATTCCACAACCAATTGAACATATAGAGAAAAAATCGAATAATTACAAATGAATTCACTACCACGATTTTCCTTTCACTACTTTCTTGCTTTCTTGTTCAAATCTGCTCTTACCTTTTCTTATTGCACGGAAATTTTTAAACAAATTTAATTGAATTTCACAATTAATTGAAGAACTTAAGAGAACACTTCTGTACTGAATAAGTTGCTCACACTAAATGACGCTCCGAATGCACGTTTACACTTACATCACCGATCTTTCGCTCAAGTAGTTCTTAATGCGGTGGACAATCTCGGTTTGCCGCACGATTGCTCTCTTGCTCTAACCTTGAAGTCAGATGAAAAGGACGCATATTGCGACCACGTGGATACGGCAAAGGCTATTTTGTCGCTTGCACATAATTTTGGTTCGCACCAACCGAAATCCGTTAAGTCGTAAATTAATATTTTTATGACTATTGTCGGATCTGTTATTTCGTTGGTTTAAACAAACAATCTCATGCTCGTCTTGCACAAACCACTTGAGTTGAATTCTTGGAATTCTGTGTTCTCAGCACAATCGCTCTGCTCTATATTTTCATGCACCGACAAGAATTCAAATGGTTTTAATTTGTTATAGCACACCACAGTAACCGTTGTTGACAATTCTCCGAATCGATTGTCGCTCAATCGATTCGATGCACACAATCAGTTTGTTGTTTTTCCTCCGCTCTGATGAAATATGATGTTTTGAATAACCGTATTGGTTTAAACAATTCAACGACAGCGCATTTTAATGCGTATTATAAAGGCACATTTGACATCAAATTTGGTTGACACAGCAACATTGTCGTCTTTTTCTTCGAATTTTTTAATCTCCGGCTAAGACAGCAAATGTTTCATTATTTTGCTCTTACAACAAACAAATAAAATCGTTGTTGATTTAGCACGGCTCCACGGGCAATAAACATAATTTTTGAATTGGTCGCTCCAATTTATTTCGACTTGTTTGCACAATGACCGATCTTGTTAAATTATCTTTGCTCTTAATGAGTTGCACAATGCGCCCAGTCAACCATTTTGCTGGTGATAAATTTTCGTCAATAATTAATACTAACTGCCCGACTTGAAAATGCTCTTTCTTCTCCCTCCATTTCTTTCTTTGCATCAATGATGTCAAATATTCATTTCTCCAGTGTTTCCAGAAACATTGTAATGCTCTTTGTTGCTCATTCTTTTCAAGGAATTGTTTGTTTGTGTCGGCACTGATATTGGTGGCGGCAAAATCAACGGCTCACCGATGAGAAAATGCGCTGGTGTAAGTGCACACATATCATTCGGATCATCGTTGAGCGCATACAATGGTCTTGAATTGAGCACTGCTTCAATTTGCACTAAAAACGTAATAAGATATTCATACGTATAGCTCTTTGCACCAAGTATTCGGCGTAAATGATATTTCATGGACTTTACTGCCGCCTCATAAATTCCACCTTGATGTGGAGCGGCAGGTGTCATGAAAGTCCATTTTGTTCCTTTTTTATTCAGGTGCTCATGCACATCCGGTACATCCCAAATCTTAAATGCGCGTGCCAATTCCTTGTGTGCTGCCACGAATGCTGTTCCATTGTCGCTATACATTTGATTGCAATGACCACGTCTTGCAATAAATCGCTCATAACAAGCAATAAATGCAGCAGCTGACAAATCGGTTACAGCATCGATATGCACCGCTCTGGTTACCATGCAAACAAAAATTGCAATCCAACACTTACGCTTGCTCGTTCGGCTCTTATATTTCTCCGAAATTTTTATAGGACCGGCGTAATCGGTTGAGGCGATCAAAAATGCTCGATTCTGATTCACTCGGTCACTTGGCAAATCCGCCATTAATTGCTCTTCGCACCTTTTATTGAAACGAGCACACGTTACACACTTATGCAAGTATGCTCTGAGCTCATTTCGTAAGCGCAGAATCCATAGATTGTTACGAATGTATTGTGCCATAACCTGCACTGCTCCGTGCTTTGTACTAAGATGCGCTTCAATTATAATGAGTTCAGTTTGTTCAATAAGAACAATTAACAAAAAATAAAAAATAAAAAATATATAAAATTAACACTTTGCACATTCAAATAATATTGTATGAAAGTCCAATTTGATTCATAAACATAAAGTCCAATTTGATTCATAAACATAAAAAGTTTAATTTGATACGTAAACAAAAAGAGCAAATTTATATATCATAAGTAAATAAGCGAATTGGCTTACCATATATGGTAAGCTTATTTAAATCGACGTTGTAATGAATTAAGAAATTGAACGAAAATTAAAAAATCCAATTCAGTTTTATGACTGAACTGAACAAACCAACTTGTTTTATTTAGCTGAAACTCTACCCTTTCTATGTCTTAGACATATTTGGTCCTTCGAAACAATTATTGAACTGAATAATAAATTGTAATTAACGATAAAACCTACGACGACATAAAAAACATTGTTTTTTTTTAAAAAAATCATAAAAGTAGCAAAATGACTACAAACGACGAAAGCAGCAGGGAAATGCAGCAAAAAATAGAAGCGCAACGTGTTCGTTCTCACCAATTTGCGACTTCAAACGAAATTATGGCAAAGATAATAGTCAACGGAAAGCACAAGACGGCTATTATGAAAAAAAACTTGAGAAATTGAAAGCATGGTGGGATGAATTTACCACAGCTCACAATGAAATTTTAGCGTTTGAGGAGCCCAACGATGAATATATTAAGAAAAATATATATTCAATTATGAAAAGTGACTACGATGATATGTGTGCTAAAATAGAGAAAGACAAACAAGATAAGATATCAGTTGAAATTGCTTCGTGTTCGTATAACGGAAGTAGTACGCGTATTAATCCAAATAATGAAATCAGAATAGATGACATTTTAAACGACGAGGATGAAAGTGATAGAGAGATTTCTATTAATGGTGCATCAGATAATTT